CCCGCACAACATCTGATGTGTCGTCTCTACAGCAATTGTCCTATGTGTCATTATTAAAAATATTATATGGCGGTTTAATTTGTTATGATAGCTCAATCATTAATCTTACATGGAAATACCCGTGATGTGTCTTTTTTTCTCAATTATGGGCCATCGATTTTATTTATGGGCCACTAATCTCGATTTTGGTCCTAGCCACTGATTTTGGTTATGGGCCATCGATATCAAAGTCAGCACTAATCTAAACCCTAGCGAATCCATCGTGCTATATATACTCCTCTCGGTTTTCATGTTTTCTTACATACAATGTTCGTCTTCTAAGGTTTAGCATCTTTTTAAAAAATAAATTCATATCTTTTTTAAAAAATTGATATATATATATATATATATATTATTTATGCATTTCCATAATGACAACCTACTCTTATAGTTCATACTTCGCTAATTGAATATTTTATCTCCCGCTTTACAATAAAATTGTCAGGTAAATAAAAATTCATGTTTGTTTATTTTAGTTTGTGCTTTAAATGTCTTTTTCTGCTTCTAGACTTTCATCTTATGTAAATCCATTGCCTAATAGTTCTTTCCTTCAAAACTTTTATGAATTTTCTATAGCGACCAGCAATCTTTCCCTCCGTGATCCTCAGATTTTGCCGTAACATCTGCCTCCATCTCAAATCGTTTTTACAGAAGATGAACATTTTTCTGCGATGTTTACAACGATAAATTTACAGGTTCGTTAAAGTGTAATTAAGACTATCATGAACTCATATCCTATATGTATTTTGAATTTCCGATCCATTGGGGCTGGGATCATAAAAACATCAATGGCACCCCCGTCTTTGCGGTAACTCCAGACCGAGTATTATAGCCAACTGTAACTCTAACGCTGGCGAAGCCTACTACTTGAGGGTTTCATTGCATGTTGTTCGCGATCCATGTTTTTAGATGGATATAAGAACAATTAATGGTGTTGTCCACCGTACTTTCAAAGATGCATGTTATGCTTTGAGTTTAATGCACGATGATACCGAGTATGTCAAAGCTATCTATAAGGAAAGTCAATGGGTTCCCACTCCTTTCTTCTTATGATGTATACTGCTTTGTTACGTGCAGCTTCTATGATGAATCCTTTTTATGTTTGGAGATCCATTCAATGTTTTTAGTATAAGTTTCGTCAATTCTTTGCATTGTCTTTGATTAATTTTCCTTAATTATCTTATTTTAACAATTTTCTTTGATTTTTGTTGTGTTTGGATTTTAATTGTTTTCCCTAATGTACTTTCTAAATTTAGTTACCATCAATAAAAAAAACAATTAAACAGATTCCTAATTAGTTTTTGCTATTAATAATTTATATATTGTTCTTATTTTAATCCATTTATAATTGTTATTTATTGTCAAAAAAGACATACACATAGTTTTCCTAATAAATCATATATATTGCTCTTACTTTTATTCACCTATAATTCTTATAACTTAGAAGTATAAGTATAAAGAAGAAGATGTAGTTAATGATAAAAACTAAAAAAAAAAAGATGAATTTGAATAAAACCATTGAGAATATAAAAAGCATATGAGAACACGAAATAGTGAAGAAGAATAAGGATATAAAAAAGGATGTTTTAGTTAAAGAAGAAAACCGGAAGAAAATAAAATAAAAGAAGAAGAAATGAGAAAATGAAGTAGGTGAGGATGAGAAAGAGATCAAGAAAAACCAGAAGAAGAAGAGTTTGATGAAGACCAAAGAGGAATAAGAAGTAGAGAATAAAGAAGGCTAATAAAAAATTAAAAAGAAGAAGAACTGAGAGAATACAAAGATGATGAAGCAGAAGTCAAAGACAATGATGAAGATGAAAGAATAGGATGAGGAATAAGAAAATCGAAAGATATATAAGTGGAAGAAGAAAAAAAGTGCAAGTCAAATACAATGAAGAAGAAGAAGAAGGAAAATATGAGAAAAAGAAGATCAAGAAAAAAAAAGTACAAGTCAAAGATGATGAAGAAGAAGAAGAAGGAAAATATAAGGAAAAATAAGATGAATAAACTGGGGCAGAAAAAGAGGACAAAATCCTTAAAATTGGAGATTGAAGAAGAAGACGAATAAAACTGAAAAAGAATAAGAAAAATACGAAGAAGAACTAAACCAAAAGATAGAGAATAGGAAGAAGAGTAGAACAAAACAAAAGAGGAAGAAGAAGAAGAAGACAGATCAGAAGAGAGAAATGAAATAGAAGTTGTAGACGATGAAGAAGAGGAAAGAAAAGATAAGGAATAAGAAAATTGACGTCGATGATAAAGAAGAAGGGAAAGACGAAGAAGAAGACCGAAAAAGGAAAAAAATCATAATAAGAAAAATTATGACAAGACGAAAAATATTAAAGAATAAGAAGGGGAAATGAGTGATGAATT